TGAGTGGCACTGCAACTGTTACGGACAGGGGTGTCGCTTAAGACCAGGCGCACGACTTGTTCGTTCCGTCACTTTGTATCATTAATTAAAACTGGTTCGAAGGATTTTTTCTTTGTGTTGGATCATTATATTAATAATAATTATAAGAAAGTTTTAAGTTTTTATTGAACTATCCGACACCCTTTGATAAGGTAGTAAGTTCAAGGTTTCTTCCCCACCTGTAAAATGTTTTATATTTATTTTTATTATGTTTTATATTTTCTTTTTGTTTTTAACCAACTTCAAACAAAGGTGGAGGTTCTCAATTCGACTGTATGTTTTTTTTGTATGTATGTTACGCTATACAAAATACAATACAATACAAAAATTCTTTATTGTACACCAAAAAAGGAAACAAATACAATAAAATTAAATTAAAAATAAGCAAATTAATTAAATTAAGCTATAACGCATTTGTGAACCGATTTTTATGATACTATTTTTTTTTTGTTGAAAAGATGTACCTCAGTAGTGATCCCATTTAAATTTGAAGAAAATATTTTACCTCCGTGTGTGGCAAACTCTGTACTGGGATTATTTTATAAGTATACTTGATAATTAAAGCCGTGGTAACCTAATGCTTTGACCTATCGTCTCTCAAGCAAAGGCTGTGGGTTCGAGTCCGGGCGCCACCTCCGAGTTTCTCGGAATTTATGTGCGAAATTTAATTAGAAAATTTACCAGAGCTTTTCGGCACATCGTTATAAAACCTGCACATCGAAGAAAGTTCACAACTCTCGGAAAACGTGTGAAATCCGCATTGGGCCAGCGTGGTGGACTATAGCATTGCCTGAAAGGAGACCCGTGCCCAGCAATGGGATGTATAAATAGCTTGATGATAATACTTATACATATTACTCGTGCCGCATTAGTAAAGAGTATTTATTACGGTATTATTAACCATGGAAATGTTATTCCTTAGGGGTGAAGACCTGGTATCCTGAAATACAGATTATGAGCCTAGTTTTGGCACCAGTCTCCCACAATATAATATATGTATATCATTAGATAATACTAACATATTATGTTTATTGTGCTGCACTGCGATTAAACAAAGAATGTATTTCTTGATTATTCATGAAAAAAAATTTAATTATTGAAACGAAACAGTACCTACTTGTCAGTAATTTTAAGAACAGCGTATTACAGAATGCTAATTATGGAATACTTAACAACCTATAATACGCTATTAAAGAAACAGTTCGTTCACAGAATATAAGTAGAAAAGTGTCCTAAATGCCTTATACAAGTGGATAATAAGCACGTATTTATCTCATACGGTCGTACAGGTCTAATACTGACCATCACACGTAAATGGATCTTAATGATAAGTCTCTACTGGTGCAGAAAACAGGATTGTTGGCTCTAAACTTGATTACTGTGCTTTCTAGTTTTTGTTTTATGCTTTAATTGGTATGGGTGACGGTAAATGTCTTGCCTGTGAGCTACAGACAAGTGCAAAATGGTGACGTGCTATCGACAACTTTACTCAAAGTTGCCTTGTATTCCGTTCTATCAAATAAGTATGTTTTTATAGTTTGGAAGGAATTTTAAATAAACTATGTTGTCGTATTTATATTATAACTTGAAATAAAAGCTTCTTATTTGAATATTGACATATAGAGTCTTATAAATTTCAAACGTTAAATCCTTGTACTTTTTTTAATGAGCGTGCTTATAAAAAGACTTTTAGACAAACGTTAAGTCCCATATACTTAATGTCAAAAATATATTGCAACATTTGATTGTGTTGACAGCGAAAAGCCAGAATAGTTTTCAAATAAGTTAAATTATTTTTATTATTCACAATGATGACTTAATTTGTTTAGGAAATTTGGGGCTCATTCAGAGTGCAGGCGTGGGCGCGGCGTCTTCCTTTTCACAGTGCCAAAGCGGCTACGAGCGGGTAGATCCTTACGTTAAAATCGCTCGCAACGCCTCCGCGCTCGCCTCGAAGCAGGCGCCGACTCGCGCGGTCATAGTGAACGCAACGAGCGTCTACGTACATTTGATTTACACGCACCCGCGCTCCCACCCGCGCCTACCGCCATTCTGAAGAAGGCCATAGATGGCGGGACTTGACTCTTGAGTGTGGTGCGGTGCACGCTCGGATTCGGACGTGCTCCACTACACAATAAGAATTATAATAATTCGCGACCCGCGCGGCAATAGCCGCTGCACGTAATTGACTATGGGTTCTCAGCAACTCATAGCCAACGAACTGTTGGCGTTTATACAACACGCCATAGATACCATGGACGAAGTCAGCATCGTGCAGATCTGCAAGTCAAATTTCAAAGAAGAAGAGATTTGCAGTGGCAAGGCGCTGCTTTTCCGGACGTTTGGCAAAGCCGAGCAGATGCCGTCTCGTCGGAGAGATGGAGGAGTGAAGAGTCTCCAGGACATCATTACGTTGTTCAAGGAGACCGACCCAGACGACGTGCCTGCATTCGTGGCGAAGGAGCTGCATAAGCTGCCCCCTGTCACGTTCGACCACGTCGACGTCACCAGGCTGCTGAAGGACATCACGTCCCTAAAAGCAAGCCTTGCTGAAGTTCAGTGTAAGTTGGAGGCCTCAGACAACACCATCAGTGAGTTGCGTGCCCAAGTTGCATTACTTAGTAGTGCGGCTTCGGTAAGTAGGTCACCTGAGGCCTGCAACGTGAACACTTGTCGCGGGGCGCAAAATGCTTCTTTCAGCAGTTTTAAGTCGGCTGACATGCATGTGTCACCGACCTCTGGCGCTGTTGCCGCGCGCGTTTCCCCGCACCCCGCCCCGCCGGAGACGACCCCTTCACGTGATTACGCAGCTGTTGCCGCTGCCCGACCCATTACTCCACAACCACAACCCAGGCAACCAATGAAGGGAAAACTGAAAAAGAAACTCGTATCTGGAGCTGCGTCGTCAGTACCACCGAGACGAGTTGATCAGTGCGACGAGGACGGCTTTCGGAAGGTGGAAAAGAAAAAGAAGAACATCAGCCGAAACCTTAGTGGCACCGCCCTGACTGGCCCGAATCATTTATTGCGTCCAGCGATACCGACGACGTTGTTATACGTGTCGCGTCTTCATTACTCCACCAAGTCTGCAGATATTGTGGAGTACATGCGAGTGAAGGCCAATGCAAACCTGAGGGTCGAGCGCTTGGAGTCGCGCCACAACGTGAATTTTAATTCATTTGTGGTGCGAGTACCAACTCAACACCTGTCGACCTTCATGAGAGAAGACTTTTGGCCGAAGGGTGTCATATACCGGCGTTTCCGAGGACGGCTACCGGACACTCACGTTGCGTCACACGTCGAAGTACATACGTGTAAATAAATAGTGTTATATGTATATTATCATGTTATATTGTATTTATGATTAGTCCGTAAGGTATTTATTTAATATTTCTGTTATTGTTTTATTATATTATTGTTATATTATATGTATGTTAGTCTGTAAGGTATGTATCTATGGGTCCTAGTTGCCTGAAATAAATAAATAAATAAAAATAAATAAATAAAAATAAAAATTCAGAGTGCAGGCGCGGGTGCGGCGGCGGGTACGGACGCGCGGGTCTTGGCGTCTTCCCTTTCTCAGTGCCGAAGCGACTACGAGCTGGTAGATCCACACGTCGAATCGCAAACAGACGCTAGACTCTAGACCAAGCACTGTGAAAGGTATTAGGATCTACCCGCGCAGTCCGCGCTCAGCCGCGCCCGCGCCCGTCTTGAAGCAGACGCGCGCGCGGCCACTGTGAACGCAACGAGCGTCTACTTATATTTCATTTACATGCACCCGTGCCCGCCGCCACTCTGAAGGCCTAATTAGATATGATGTAAAAAATTAAATTGTTGAGTTTTTCTTGGACTGAGGAACACCTAAAACTTAAAATTACAACCGTGCTTGTGTGTTGCATAGTAAAAAGCAAATTTTTAAGTGCTTTTCGTTTAAACGCTCACCTCCAGATCATTTGTTCTACTCAGTTGACGATTTTATGAAATATAAAAACTAATTGATTGATGTATACCTTCCTTTTAATATTTATTTATCCAATCTAATTAAATTGTGACATCCACTAATATGGCATATCCTGTATCAATTAATTTAATTTGGTAATGCATTGTTTAATTGTTTATTATTATTTTGCATGCCTTAGTTTAAGGCTGAATAGTTCTAATTAAATTTTACCATCAACATTTACAATGTACTCTACCCTATTCAAAGCGAATAAATTAATTTGAATTTGAATTGAATTTACTTTAAAGTGCTTATCTATTTTTAAATAAGTGACTTTATCTAACATCATCGCAAATAAACCCTTCCTATGATTGTTGAATGGAAATCGGCCAGAGAAACCTTGGCATTACATCTAACCTGTCTCGTGAGTTTTCTAACAGGGATAACGCTGCGTCTTTACATATATTGACTGGTTTTTCTAATACTACTTCCCACCGTTCGTTATTGATCGGAAACTCGATAACTACACTGAATCTTATTAAGCTACAAAATAACTTGTTATCTTTCTAAAATATTTGTGGTGTTTAGACAATGGCGGAGGAGTTTTATACTTAATCAATCTAAGTATGTTTCAATGACACTCAGTGATTCACTTATTTACTGAGGACCTCATATTCGCGCATTTTTTTTATGATATCAAATGACAGCTCGAACAAGTCATGCGCCTAGTGGTAATCGACACACCCACCCATAACAGTACTACAATGCCACTCAGAGCTTTAAATTACAAAGATCAGAGGGGCACTGCCGCTGCGTCCGTCACCCTGCGACATAAAATTGACAAGTCCTATTTGCCTGTGTTTCACAGCACCATATCCTTGTGTTCCGTCTTTTTATAATAATAAAAACAAACTAGCGGAGTATTTTCACAAAAGAAATAAATAAAAACATGGTAGTAAAAACATCATGATATTCAATAAAAAAAATATTAAAAAAGCTTTTGTAAATATGTACATACCAAGTCAAGGCGCAAGCTGAACGAGACGTGCTTACGAGGCGGCGGCGCAGGTTGTGCGGGACCCTCGTAGAACGCCGCTTCCTCCAGACCGTAGTCTGATTCCGACTCTGTCCACTCCAGCTTCATGCTGCTGGGACTGTAACAGAAGAAACATAATTTTAAATTGGCAATACAGGTTTTACTTAGAGTCATCCCTAATAATATCTTTATTCTTATACGTCTAGTGTTATAATGTGTTACTTAATTACAAATTAAGTTTAGACATTGGGACTTATAATATACAATACGACATGTATGGTAACTCCATACAAACGTAGCAGTGCGGCTTGTATCTGTGCCGCGTGCCGTGTACGGACGCACACATTCGCATAATCTCGCGATGGATTCGCGTTGCATAGCGTTGGTCGTCTCGCGTTCCTTTCATAATTTTGCAAATGTGTGCGTCCGTACACAAGCCGCGCTGCCGCGTTTGTATAGAGTTACCTGTCTTATTATGCTTCTAACCTTAACGGGAACGAAGTCATGGGAAAATGTTAGTAAAAACATAAATAAACATGGTAATAACAAATCGAATACAAAATATTATAACGAAATGTAAAATACGCTACATAGAAATATTAAGGTAAAAAAATCTGCAAGACAATATATATGGTTGGTATGGGCTGGTATAGTTATTGACTACAAAGAGTCTAGTCATAGTCATGGCTTTATCATTACGAGGCATTCTTGCGCCCGCGCACGCCTAGCAACAATAAGGCTTCTAACCGCAGCGACAGCCTCCTATTTTGAATTAATCGACAGCCGTCCTCACAACTTTTTCTGTCTCTTTCACACACCATACAAAAGAAAGGGATAAAAGAAAGATGAATCCAGAAAAGTGTCGATTCAAACTCGGGTTGAACCTGTTCCTCACCTTGCAATACATCAACTTGTTCTATCAGATGCTTTTTTGTTTTTTGTACGCTCTGAATTGAAAAGTCTTTTTTTTCTCTCTGCAGTAGAATACAGCTACTGTGTTACTTGTTTTAAAATTTGTAATCTTCAGTCGACATTGTAACTTGTTTATAATAAAAAACTGACTGTTCATTATTCTTTGACAAATAATTTATGGTGCACGCAAATAATAAGCGATGAACACTTACTGTTTATCTTTTCCACTAGGTAATTTAGAAACACTCTAAATGTTATAGTATTGACTTCGCACATGCAACCAAATTCTGTCGTAACTCAAAAATGGTGGAATTGGAAAAACACGATTTGGAATTTCGAAAAATTACTGAAAGGCACCAATAAATTTATATTCTCGTTTTTGTGTGGATAAGTAAATATTAAGTATGTGTAAACAAAAATAATCCTATTATTCACAAAAAGATCCGTTCAGTATTTTCTTTACATTTTAACTTTTTTTTAGTAGTTAGTAATTATTATTTAATACCTGATTCAGTAGAAGTAACCAAAAGCACGTTTCCAAATAAATTAACCCTACTCAGTTCCCGATAACTAACGCCATCTTCCTCGAATGCCATCAAAGAGAACACATTGCTTAACACTTCAGATGTAACGAGTTGATCCGCCGGAAGCTGTGTCATCGGGTATGAAATGATTTTAAAAGAGGAACGAGGATGTATAGGCACACTCCTTAACATATGTTACATGCTACTAAAACATCTTCATCGTTCTATATGTAACGATTTTGTATATACAAAAGCATATTACGTTGAACCATGTTTTCGTTAACAACAAAAGTCATTAAACAAGCAGGTGATACAAACCATAATTTCTTTTTAAATTTACGATACCAAGTGACGGAAGGAACAAGTCGTGACAGGCACGTCGTTAGGTGATAAGTAAGCGACGTGCCTGTCCATAGCAGTTGCAATGTCACTGAAAGCTCTAAATGGCAAATATCTGAGGGGCACCGAAACTGTGCCAGTCACCCTAGACATAAGTTGATAAGCCCCATAATTCCATCAGCTCATTTATAACCTTCAAAACCGGAATGATGTAATGCTCATTTTACCGATTGGCGGCTTAAACAGCTAAGGTGGCAGTACTTCTTTGGACGAATTCTTCCACAAGGACCTCTACTGCTATTTATTTTTTAAGAACAAACAGACCTGGAAGTCCGTAAATATTAAAAAATGAAAGAGCAAGTATATACGATGTTCAAAGCTGCATTTAAATAAAGTGATAAAATTCCTCACCGGAATTTAAATCCTCAGTCAAGTACACAGGGCATGAATTTATAATAGTATTAAATGACACCCCGAACACAACAGTCTGTTGCTGTGCGCAAATAAAATTTATAAAATACTCCGCGCTTTCTTCAAAACTATGGACTTGTAGGTTTTGCTTACGCGTGCTTTTAATTGAACGAGTTTTATTAATAGGTATAATATAATGTAGGTGTTTAGAATGCTGACGTGCGTCTAGTACATGTCATATTAACTGCCTTTAATTTAAAAATATTTATATTAGAGAAGTATATTTATTATAGAAGTCTAGATAGCACTTAAAGAAACCAGGTAACTTTAGAACGCTGCCCAAAAATGTTTTAATTGTTCGCCTAGACCAGAGGTTCCCAGACCTTTCTTCTCATAGACCACTTTCAAAATTTAGCTGGTTCCGGTGGACCCCCTGCAGCTACATTTCTACCATATTCCATATCCAAATTTTTTTTATCACGCTAACGTAGACCCCCGTAGAGTCTCCGTGGGCCACTGGGGGTCCACCTGGACCACTTTGGGAACTAAGGGCCTAGACGATTGGATGGTAAGAGATTGTCAGAAAAAGGCAGTCGTAAAATGTTTGTATACGATAAACGAGCACATACATTTTAAGTCTTCTAAGTTATTTGTTGTGTCTAATTTTGTACCTATATAACTTAATATTATATAGTTGTGCGACCAAGCGGAATGCTGCCCAACCTACACTACGCTCAAATAATAATAAATTAATCACGCTTAGTCCTATAGAGGTAGTCTGCTCCATATACAACAGTGATATAGTTAAAAGTGTCATCGACAGATTTCGGCGCTTCTGAACCCAGTTGCAGTCGTATCGTGTCGGTCAATATCCGCCGGATACGAGACGACGCCCGACACGAGACGTTATTGTCTTGTAATTGAAACGGCGTGTCGATTTGTATATGTGGATTATATCGGTGGGGTGGTTGTGCTTCTAATGTCGAATGGGTAAAGACAAATGGGCTGTGTTGTAAGGGTTAATGAATGAATCCCGTACGGGGTACTTCTTGGTAGGTAATGTTCCAGAGCTATGCGACACGGAGGGAAAGTACTTTAAATTTCTACTCTCCTTGTCATCATAACTAACGCAATTGCATTTTGGTAATTTTCGAGACATCGGCCATCTAAAGTTTTTTTTGACAAATGTCAATTGCGCTGATTTTGCTTACATTAACATGACGAAATTTTACATTTAAGTTTAGGAAAATTAATTGTAATGCGTTTTATAGTTTATATTTGTACTTGCAAAAGTATCGGCTTTATCACTTCATAGATAGCTTTGATTATTTACTAATAAGTATTATTTATTAAAAATTATATCCCCATAGAGCAAAATATCCTATCTACAATACTTAAAATACTTTCTCTTCGTGTCCCTAACACACTAAAGAACACTGCGCTAACTTTTACTATTTTTTGGTTATTTTCTGTTATTTTTGTAAACAGCTCTTTTAATTTATTAATATTATGCTCCCCGAATTTTGTGAAAAAATAAACAAAGAAACAAAAACAAACAGGAAATGAAACTATTTAAATTGCGTATATTTGTTTTTTCAAACAAACCAACCAAACCAAAAAAAAGGGTAGTTTGCAGTAATACTAAACATAACTGGTTAATTACTATACCACCTCAGTCAACCGTGACCATGGGACCTATAAAGGGCCCGAAATGTTGGTTTGTTTGAAAAAACAAAATTTTACAAATTCAACTTTAGATTTCATGTGACAGCTAGATTACTAAAGAAGAAGAAACCTCTGCTAACTTTAGCTTCAGATTAGCCGTATTACGTCATAAAAAGAATTACGGTTGGTCGGTAATGTAATACTTACTATAATGAGTTGTCATCTGGCTAAATAAAACAGCACCTTCTATCTTATCTCAAAGATAGCTTATCACAACTAGCAGCTACGATTGGCGTGATTACTGTTCTTCATATTTTGAATATTTATGATTTTTTTCATTCATAATTTATCGGAATCTTGAAAGTTTACAATTTTTGGTTTTTGTTTGCTTTCGTGGTTTTCTACAGGGTCATTATTAATTATCCTGAAAGCCTCTTCACACGACATATTCAGTAGCAGTAGACCTCCTTGTGAAAGAGTTTGTCCAGGTAAGTACTGCCACCTTACCTATTTCTGCCGTCAAACAGTAATGACAGCATTACTGTGTTCCGGTTTTGAAGGGTAAGGGTACTGGTGAAATTACAGACACACGGGACTTGTCAACTTATTCCTTAGGGTGACGGGCGCAGTGCCAGTGCCACTCAGATCTTTTTAAAGCTCTGAGTGGCACTTCAACTGTTATGGACAGACGTGTAGCCTACCATCAGGCGCACGACTTCTTCGTCCCATCACTTGATATTATAAAAAAAATATAATCGAAAAAAAGAACAACTTTCACAATAGAAACGATGAAATTCAAAGAAAGATGCTTTCAACATTCATTGATCTGTAGGAAGATAAGAAAAATTATTGTTCAATTTACAGTATATTCAACAGTTTAGTTCTCAAACAAGAGTAAAACAGAGAAGGATTTAAGTAAGATATTGAATCCATATTAATTTTTATTAACGTTTTAGACTATGCTACGCGTCGTTATAAAAAAATGTGATAAAGGCGGTTGATATGCAGAATACATATACATTAAAAAAATAGAAAAATTAAATAAAGAAAAAAGTGGGTCCGTGACTCGCAGTTACTCCGCCATGGTGTGTCATACATTGGAACACCACAATCAAAATATATACTTAGGTACAAAAAAATCTAAATTCAAATAATTGGTAACCAATTAAGCATTAAATAAATAAAATTAAAATGATTGATGATATACATAACCTTAAGGGACTACGTGATCACTGTCTGTTTCGTGCATTTAGTCGTGATTATCAGACTATAAGGTTCCCGACCTACAGTCATACCTGTAACCCGCTCCTGCCCAGCAACAGCGAGAGCGCACACGCAAACTCGCATGTTCACTAAACGCCTGAATACTGAATTGATCAGTGAAAGTAGCTATTTCTTTCCACATCGGAAAGTGGTTCTTGGAAGCTGCATTAATGTGAATTTCAAATTGCTGATATGCTAAATCTGATATGATATCAAGTTGTGGTAATTTAGTCCTTTTTACATATTTTTTTAAATTATGAGAGTGCCATTTGAACACTGAACCCCTTTTTATATCTACCCATAACTTCGCCATTTCGTGAACATAAAAACGGACTCTGCTGCACTGCTGTGGTTTCCTAATTCCGTATGCAGGTATCCTAGGTATCATCCGAAAAATACTTAGTAGCAGTAAAACTCCTTATGAAAGAGTTCATCCAGGGAAGTGCTGCCACCTTACCTATTTCTACAGCCAAGCAGTAAATGTGAGCATTACTGCGTTCCGGTTTTGATGGGAAAGGGTCAAGGGTGCTGGTGAAATCACAGGCACAGGAACTTGTCAACTTGTCTCAGGATGACAGGCCCAGTGGCAGCGCCCCTCAGATCTTTGTAATTTAAAGCTCTAGGTGGCACTGCAACTGTTACAGACAGGTGTGTCGCTTACGACCAGGCTTATTTGTGCGTCCCCTAACAAAAAAATAAATAAAGAAGCTTATCCTGTAAAGTCATGCAGGCATTGAATTGAGCATTGAGCAGGCTCAATGATCGTAAGATCGTTATGCCTATATACACATAATATAAAGTCTTCTTTTTGAACATTGACTTACGTTTGAACTTTACGGCTGTCATAGTTGGCAGACCTCAAAACTTGTCACATTAATAATGTCAAACGGTCTGATGTTGTTACAAAAGTCAACTTTTAAATTTAATTTGTATTAACTATCCAATACACATAGGTACCTAATTTCTGAAAAAGTATGGCGAAAAGATTCACAAAGTCTTCTATAGACTGGGTAGCACTTGAAAAGCGGGTGCCCCGTGATCAGAAAAACCAATTCTTGGTTTTCAAAGCTAAATCTGACGGATACTTACGAAGGCAAGTTATCGATGTAATTGCAGATTATAGCGTTGTTTTTCTAATGTGTAATAACATCGTCGCACCTACAACAAACTCAAATAAATTTTAGGAAAGACTATTTTTAAATCTTTCATCAACGGGAAACGAAAATTTGACGATCTTTTCAAAGGACTTCAGATAGTCAGATAACCCACAACCTAAAATTCACTGTACTGCTCTGTCGTCGTGTGTCGTCTTAGTCGATTTATTAGTCTTAGAATTATTTATTGTATTTCAGAGTCCTTGCAAATCCTGAAAAACCTCCAGAAATTAACTGGGCAGAGTATCAGAAGTCGGTGCCTGTTGAAGGCCTTGTAGAGAAATTCAAATCGCAATACCAGAGCCTACAGGTGCCATTTCCAAATGATACTTTGTCGGCCGAAATTGATAAACAGTGGTCGGCGATTGAACCAGGAATAAAAGCGTTTCGTGCCGAGATGCAAAAGGAGATTGACGCGTAAGCCATTTAAAGTTCTTTGTATACCTGAGTGAGAATGCTTCGAAATTGAAAAAATATTTTTTTACAAACAAGTGATATTTAATAGTTATTTTTATTTCTGTTCTTGTCTGGACATCAAATAATTTGATTTATCAATTATTTTCACATTCAGCCCGATCGACTGTTATTGTCGTGCAAAATCAGTGCATCAGTAAACACCTTTAATAGCTGTATGTTTGTTAAACAGGGCTAACAAACAGTTGCAACGCATCAATGCGTTGCCGAAGTTTGAGGACATGCATATGGAAATGTTCAAGGACATGTACCCTGAGGAAGCGTTAGATCCCGTAAACAGGCCCACTTTCTGGCCACACAACCCTGAAGAGCAGCCAGGTTATAAGCCACCTAATGCACCGGCAGCCGCAGGACATTAGTTATACTTTGATTGTTTTGTTAAAATATTGTCGATACAATGATTATAAGTTTTTTGCTATAAATATAGACTATGTCGTGTAGAGATGACTTTTTTTTCTTGTTACCAATCTAGTTAGGTAAATTAATGTGTGTCTCGGAAGAATGCGAAAGCGCCTCATGACTCCGGAATATGCATATGGTGAGGAGATGAAATACGTCAAGATTTAGTCGGTAAGATTCCGACATAACCCCGCCTGTCTCGGGGGGTTAGTATCCATGAGAATAAAACTTAATGTTTTCGATTAATAAAATTCAGCAATGTAACTTAGATGCATCTTTATAGACAAAAATATTCATCAAAACCAATACTTCAACTTCTTATTTGTGTGTCTTCTGAGGCGACTCAGATCACGTCTGTTATGGAATAAATCAGTGCGTCTGGGTGTTATAAATTCTTTGGCCTGAACTGATCTCATTACGGTGCTCATAAAATACGAACCTTATCGCTTAATCTTGCTCAAGTCTTATTAAAATGGCAACGTTTGTTTATTTAGTAAGGGCGCGCGCGAGTCCAAACATCGTGAGTTATTGTCTATGCATGCGCGGACGCAGAAGGGCTGGTGGCAGCTAAATTTAGCCACTCACAGGGTCGCAGTGCCACTGTGAGACTAGCCAAAGCGGCAAATTATGACGGATGACGGAGTTGCATTACACTTACTTTGAGTCATATCAAATGAGCTGGGAATGCAACTCGTGTTTCTTGATGATCGTTAAGCGCTGTTCATTATAGAAACCTGATATTGCGATCACGGATTTGTTTTTTACGATAGTGCCTAGGTTAACTTAATGTCATAATATTTGTTATAAATTTTTTCTTGTATATCTCATATTTCTTCGCCTGATCCCTTTTTTGCTCTATATGTACAGCTTCTTAATCCCAAATTTCCTTTTTACGTAATAAATTTCACCGTTCTAGAGACAAAAACCTTATCAGTGGCTCAAACACTAACCGCGAAAAGCCAAGAACTATAAAAAAAATGCTACTTGAGTACTAGCGAGCTGAAGCTGTAACGTGACAGATACAGTAACGAGGTTCCACTGTAACATAACATTCAACGGTTACGGTTACAGCTCGCTATAGAGTACCCGGCTTTTATGTAGATTACAACACTTTCGTCAGTTGTTATATAACGATTACATGCACTGTAAATGGCTGAAACGCTAACCGCGAGAAGCCAAGAGAACTAAGAAAAAAAAATGTAATAAATTTTCAAAAAGTTTAATTTCTGGTTTGACAGTATTGGTTTTTATTTACTTGAGCAGCAAGTATATAGAAAAGAGTAGCTATGCCTTAGACTATGGAAACCAACCCTCAACCCGGCACTGGCAGAATTGTCCTCAGTGGGACAGAAGCCAAAACATCCAAAAAAAGTATTTCTTGAGTGTAATCGGAAAAAAATCAAAGTAGCATGTGCTAAACCCATGAAATTTTGCTTTTGTGGCTGTCACAGTGATTTTTACATAGCTGCCTATTTACATAGCCACATTGGTGTTGACGTAATCTCGCAAATTTACACATTTCTAGGTTCTTTGTGATCGATTTATCGAATTTTGGTTGAAATATACTATATATTTGAAATATAATGTTCTATTTTTGTTTTTGAATAAATCGGAGTTCAGGACGTGGTGAGATATGAATGTGGTGAGTTGAGAATTTGGTAACCTGCTAACAAAGGAGAGTAACCTGAAAATTGGTAGGTTTCTTTAATGCTACGCAATTTTCAACTTTTCGTGGTCACAAAAGCAAAGATTTTGCAGGAAAACAAAGTTTTTTCCAGTTATTTAGGCATGTTAAAGATCAATTAAGAAAATGATATTGATAATCCAGGAACTAAAATCGTGTTACATGGTTTTATTTATTTATATATACGTTCCATGACTGTTTTCGCTGGACGCGGAGGTCCCGGGGTCGTTTCACGGTAGGACCAATTTGGGAAATGAACGTTTCTAAATTGGTTCTGGTCTGGGTGTTTCGGGAAGTGCTCCAGAGTGAATTCCTTTGCTCTGGTACTCCTAGTACAGGAAATTCTCTAGTTTGAGACCAGGCAACCGGTGCGGTTATGTATCACATTACATTATTAATATTACTATCATAGAGCGTGTAACCATTTCGAGTTATCAGAAAAATAAAAAGAAGTCATATCGTGGTAATAAACGTGTGTACATGCACAGCTGAATATATAATTCACTTTGATCTTATACCAAACTATATGGCATATAGGTATGTCATAAGCACTATCAGAGAAGTGCGTTATCTACCCATTACATGTGAAGGTCGTGTGCGGCCCGTACCTTTGAAATTCAACTCAGATTTTTGCATTCCCCTTAATCTAAATATGACGTACAGATTCATATATCTAATTTGAAAATTATATTAGAATGCAAGGTTTTTGATGATGCAGGTTTTTTACACATCAGCTGATGCTGATTTTAGGTAGGTATTAAAAACGCGAATAATGTACATCCTCACTGAATCTATCTACATAAAAAAGCTTTAAATTTTTTTTGGTATAGTAATAACCAAACAAAACACCAAGACCCTTTACAGGTCACATAGTCAACCGTGATCACGGGACCTGTAAAGGGCCCGAAGCGTCGGTTTGTTTGAAAAAACAAATATACGCGATTTAAATTCGGAAAAATAGTTTCATTTCCTATGTGTAACAATCGCGAAAACCTAAGAACTCGATAGCAATAAAATATTATTTCAATGATTTTGTGATGTTTATTAACAATTTCGATTATGAAACGGCCGCCATAAGGCATAATATGGATTCTCTAATCAACAGGCCAGTCCTTTCGGATGAAATTTTTCTTCATAAAATAGTGAACGGTAGTATAGACTCCGCTTTATTATTACCTTTAATTAACTTTAATATTCCTAGAATCTCCTCCCGTACCAAAATTACATTATTGTTACCCTTGTTCTACGACTTACGCCAAAAACACATTTGTTTGACACTCGTGTAAGTACTATAATGAGAAATTGAACGACATCGACAATTTTTCGTTATCATTGACGAGTTACAAGAAAAAAGTGGGAAATATTATATTTGACAGAGGACCCCGTGAAGAAACTAAAACCTCTGTAACAGGTTTAATTACATTTTATTTATTTTCTGTATGTGTACAAACTCATATTTTGTAATACTTATACGTATTTAATGGAACAACCTGGTTTGTTAGGAAGTTAATATATTTCTTGTAAGATTTGAATAAGACTATGTTTTCCTAAATGAATAAAAAATAAGAATCAACCTACATGACAACAATAATTCAGCTTTGTTTAATCTTTGTGGAATTTTATCAAAGTTATATTCTAAAAACAACAGCTGAACTCACGCTTAGCTGCTTTTTCGGCTAACAGTCTGATTCTTGAAAGGTTGTAAATAGTTTCAGCGTATCGTTTAGGTCATGTCATGACTCTAACATCCGCAATGAATATCAGCATCGATGAATGCGAATGCTGATGCGGACATTTTAATTCATGCTGATTATCTGCGGATGCGGAAGCGGATGCTGACATTCGTAACAGCCCTGTTAGGATGTCATGTCTTAATGCTTTGTTTTCGAACTTCGTCGGTGTTTGGGTTGCGTCAAGTAATTGTTGATGCTGAAATTTCATGGCATTCGCAATATTAATCCTTATAATTTAATTTTACAGATTCATATAGATTTGTTATTTTTATTGATACAAAGACAGTTCATTTTACTAGCAGTAGAAGTCCTTGTGAAAGAGTTCGTCCGGGAAAGTACCGCTACTTCACCTATTTGTGTCTACATTGACTCCGGGAGGGCGACACCATGAAAACCGGTGTGCAAGCCACACGACCACAGAGGTCGTCAAAGGTAAGAGTGATGGTGAAATGGGACTTGTCTACATATGTCTCAGGGTGACACGCGCAGTGACAGTGACCTCTACTTGTGATTTAAAGCCTTAGAGGATGGAAAAAATAAAGCTCTGAGTGACACTGCAACTGTTATGGACAGGCGTGTCATTTACCACCAGGCCTTGTTCGTCGCGTCACTTGGTATCATAAAAAAAGAACAAACGTAAACAAAATCTCCTTCCATCCGACTACACTCGAACTTCAGATCTGTAGGAATAGAAAAGTAATCTTATAATTATGATATTGTCTCAAATGTTTATTATTTTATGATTTAGGCTAAGTACATAAGAGCGTTTAACAATGTTAATCAACCCAATAAACCAGCGCCGTCATGAAACGGAGCACTAATCATCAAAATCTATTCTGCACCTACGCGTTTTTGCCTGGAGTTCTCATTTCGTGAGACAGACGGTGAAAAAAAAACTGACGATCAACATCTGACGGGCAACTACTTGCAGCTGAGGTTCGGTGCACTATCGGGCGTTGCGGGGGTGAGGGTGGCAAGACGGGGGGGTGCGTCATGCGCACATGCAACCTTGTGTGCGTGTAGGATACACTACACCTTGCACGCAACGGGACCCCGTCCCGAGCAGGTAGACCGCTGACATGATTAGGGACGAATCTCACTTTCTCGCCGAATATGGATTTTTAACGCGCAAGAAATACTGCTCCAAATTATTACTATCGCGATTTATATTTATATTAGCAAAGAATAGTCTAGCATGATCTAAGCTCTTATTTTACTTTTAAGTTTCTATTTGTATGCAAAAGTTAAAGTCAACTTTGTACCCATATTATTCCATAACCGGCCGTTCACCGAATAAAAGATATTAACTAAATAGGTATTATGTTATTAATAATAGTTGTTCTACATGTATAATAAAAAATGTCCTTAACCTCATAATAAAAATGGTGGAGTGTCTGTTGTATCCATTGAGATCAACGAATCGTTTTTTTGTGCACAAGTAACAGATGCTCTGTATTTTTTAATGTATTCCACATTTTCAGTGCAAACTAATTTATAAAAAAGTCGTTAAAAGCTGACTTTATGTTTGAAACTCTAGGAAAGAATAAAGTTTTATTCAAACTATCGATGACCAAGAGTTGTTTTCTACAATGCCTTCGATGCCTTGACTATTAGCAACGTT